CCTGCCTTGTTAATCAGCTAATGTGATGATAATGTCAGGTAACCCATAGGTGAGTGGTCCCGCTTCACCAGTGCGCTTCTCATAGGGAAGGTGTTGGCAAGGGAGCAACAGCAAGAGTGAGCTCTCTGTTCACCAGCGCTGCTATCCAGTGACATTAGCTGGTGGACAATTGAGTGTGGTTTGGGGGAAATGGCTTTGTGGGCAAAGTGGCCCCTGGGACAGTCATTCCCCACCTCTGTTTTAGGTAAATAAAGAAATGAAAAGCTGTTCCTGTAGACTGGCTTCCATTTGCTTCTAGAATAAGCATTTAACCTTCCTGTTGTTGAATCCTAAATCTGCCAAATTTGGTATAGTCTGAGAAGCAAAACTGCTTTTAGAAAGGGGCCAGCCATCAGTGAACACATGATCTTCTAGTCATTTAATTATTTCTCCTCAATCCTAATATTTTAATCTGCGTGTGCGGCCCCTATGCGCTTTCCATTCCTTTTGGCGCACTCCTTGGTCATGTGGCTGTGACTTTGAACCGGGGCTTTGACCTTCAGCTATATTGCTTTCAATTTACACTTTTTATTAACAAAGCCATGCAAAAGCAAAAGTGTTTCATGTTGCCAATTTAACTTATTTAATTAAAAGTGAAGACTGTAAACCGTTTCAGCCGTGGGTGCCGTTCTAATGCCATCAATTGGGGGAAACAGCCTTAAAATTAAAAGTGTAGGGAACCATGGTGACTCTCAAAGGTATGTCACCTACAGTGGCATCTGTACTTCATTTAGTAAGAGAGATGGGTTTCTGAATCACCCGGTATAATATTTTTTTAAAACGTATAGCATGACCATGATTGAAGCAATACTGAAAGCAAGAGCAAAGGGAGGAGGGCTCACTTGGGCACCAGACACCCCCAACCTGGTGTTCTCCAGATGTGTCGGACTACAACTTCCACCAGCCCAATTCTGGTCAACACATCTGGAGGGCACCAGGTTGGGGAAGGCTGAAATAAACTATAGCTCCGGTGTGCCCCTCTGAGCAGCAACAAGGCCGTAACATTGAGGAGACATTAAAGAACAACTGATAAAGTAGAATAATGTGTGGACAGTCCAGAATAAATCTAGCACTATAATTGCATCAATAACATATTGCCCAACACATCAGGTATATATATATATATATATATATATATATATATATATATATACACACACACACACACACACACACACACACACACAGAGTGGTACCTCAGGTTAAATACGCTTCAGGTTACATACGTTTCAGGTTACAGACTCCGCTAACCCAGAAATAGTACCTCGGGTTAAGTACTTTGCTTCAGGATGAGAACAGAAATTGTGCTCCGGCGACGCGGCAGCAGCAGCAGCAGGCCCCATTAGCTAAAGTGGCGCTTCAGGTTAAGAACAGTTTCAGGTTAAGAACGGACCTCCGGAACGAATTAAGTACTTAACCCGAGGTACCACTGTATACACACACACACACACACACACACACACACACACACACCCCACTATCTGGAAAGGCACAAGGAGTTGAGAGTCTGTTTTTAAAATTGCAGGGGAAAATTAATGTTGGAAGATCCTGGACAGATAAAGTTATTCTTCACGCAGCACATAGTTAAACTAGGAAACTCACTCCCTCAGGAGGCAGTGATAGCCACGAACCTAGATGGCTTTAAAAGAGGATGAGACAAATTCATGGAAGCCACAAGAAGGGAGAGTGGTCTTGCATTTGGGTCCTCCTTGTGGGCTTCCCAGAAGAGCTATCTGGTTGGCCACTGTGGGAACAGGATGCTGGACCACATGGCAGAGGCGGATTTAGGGCAGCGCGACTGGTTCCACCACACTAGGCACAGGACCTAGGGGGCGCTGTAGGGCACCCCAACTATGTCGTAGTGAACTGAGCAGAAAGGAAGGTAAGAGGCAGGTGCTGCTGCCGCCGCATTTGGCTTTGCACAGGATGCCACTGAAATTTGAAAGACCATCCTCCACCCCTGTAGACGGGACAGTAGCCTGATCCAGCAGGCTTTTCCTTAGGTTCACATTGGTTCTTACATATATGCAATATCTACCCACTGAGAAAGTCACCCCACCAAAGAAGCAATACAGCAAGCTTTGGTGGTATGTGCCAAATAATTTGTGTTATTATGAGTTACTCACAGCTCCCTGAGGATATGTCTGCCGCAGACTTGGAGCCCGGGCTTCCCCCACCCCCCAGAACACAGCTTTCATTTCTTTCTTTTGTCAGCTTTGAACAAACATTCTTAACAGGAGTGCAGGGGAAGAAAACAGAAAATGAGATCCTGAAAATAAAATAGATTTATTTATTATAAAAACGGGACACACACACACACACACACACACACACACACACACACTTTATTTTGCCTGCCTTTCACAAGCCTTGTTCAAGAACCCCGCATGTTTTCTGCAGACAACCAACGTAATAGAAATATTTGCCTGGTAAACATTTTTTTTAAAAAGAAGATCCTGGCGAACCATTGGTTTCTCAGCTCTGCTCAGCAGCAAAAAAGCTGTTTCTCCAGCTATGAAAAGGCATGGAACTCTCTTGCATTTCAGCATATGCTACAATTACATGCTACAATACGAAACATGGATATGTAAGGCAGAAATAGCCAAGCTGTGGGCTTGCAATGCATGCTTGTGGGCTACAGGTCGTATGCCATGAGAAATGGAGGGCAGGATCTTGTGAGCTGGAACCTCAGTGGGTTTTGTAAGCACTCACATGGAATATTAGCAAAATATGGATGGCAGACCTCCCCTCCCCAGGCCAGAAGAAGGCACAGCTCATTATTTCAGACTGGCTGGCCAACTGTCCTGTTCAACTCCAGAAGTGGAATGATGCTTTACAGACTCCATAAATGAGTGCTATAGGCCACTTTACAGGCCTGAAAAGCAGCACTTGGGTTTATCATCTCTGTGAGAATTTGGCACCATAACTGGTGCCCTCCAGATATTTTGGACCACAACTCCTAGCATTCCCAGCAGCCCAAAACGTCTAGAAGACACCAGGCTGGGAAAGGCTCTTGTAGTTAATGTTGAAAAACACATATGCTAAAAAACAACAACAGTCCAGTTACATGATTGCAGTGAATTTGCTTGCTTGGTTCTTTGCAAAACACACAATATTGGGAGTGGGAGGAAATATGATCATTAAATATCCAGAATGCAATCGGGTCTCGAAACGTTAACTTTAGTAGTAACCCAAGTGTTCTCTCTTTAAGTCTCTCGTAGATTTTATTTACAGCTGAATATTTAACAGTGTCTTGGGTGAGGCCTGTAGGCTAAAGATTGCACTTCTATGAATTTAACCACCCCATCTTTGACACCCTTTATCCTGTTCACTTCTCGTTGATATATATTTTTTAACTTGCTGCAACAGATGAGGGGTTCTTTAACCATCTGTTAAACTTTTTTCCCTTCTCTCTCTCTCTCTCTCTCTCTCTCTCTCTCTCTCTCTTAATGCAGAGTTGCTTTAGGCAAGAAGACCCAGAGCAAGCTAGAGTGAAACAAAAAGCAAGGAGGTAAGCAACGCTAGAGATCATTACACTTGACATTTCAAGGCTCGAACATATTAATTTTTTATGCCTTGCTACTTGTATATCGTTAATAAAAATCTGACTAAAAACTTTTTAGGATGTATTTGTTGCTTTGCCTTTGATCTTAATGTTTGCAAACTAATACATTAATACATGTGAAGCCTAAGGAGATTTTATGAGAGCATATTTCCATACATTATGTTTTCATTTCCATTTTAGGTAGCTTTCTTTTTTGCTTTTGTTGGGTTGTTGACGGCAGCAATGCTTAGTTTGGGTAGGAGACGGGCCCCCTTTGTCTTTGTCTTGTAAAATGCAACATCCAAGTGATATGCTGCCACTTTTAAAAAGCTAAACGTTGTTCAGCAGCGGGTGTCTCTAATTATTAAAGTTATATAGGTTTTTCTTTTAATATTCTAAGTAGGTTTTTTTTTTACCAGCTTTGTTGTGCAAAGTTAATCAATAAAACAACATCTGAATTGTTACTGATACAGTACTATACCTTATTTCAGTTTGATGGGGAGCACTGTGGGCTCCTGCTATGCTAAGGGCGTTTGTTAGGGTGAAAAAAAGAGTAAAATGTCTGTTGGATCAAACCGTAATCCCTCCTTCTTAGGACTTGCTCAGACAGCGGCTTCCAGCAGCAGATTTAGCACTAAGTGGAGAAGGAAGGGTGCCTACTGCAGGGAAAACGGTAAGTTCATTACCTGGTGGTATCAGGTCTGGATGAGGCCATTAGGGAAGGGCAAATCTGTCAATTTTGGTTCATCTCAGTGTGCCCTTTCCCCACTCTTCAGTTCACTTCTCTACCTTTCCATACCAGTTTGCGATCCACACTCCAAAAAAAGTGCTCATGAAAATTCAGCAGCATTTTAGTGTGAATCTCTCCTAATATACACACCTCTCTGTGCAATTTTGCCAAATACACACACTTTTTGCTAAGCAACTTCCTATTTGGCCATGCGTTTTCGTACGCTATTTTCACCGATATACGTATTTCCCATACCACTTGGCTAGAGAACTCCACGGCAAAATTTGGCGAGCAAATTTCAAAGGACTGCTGCTTTTGGGTTGACGAAAGCACGTCAAAGTGCAAGTAGATAAATAGGTACCACTCCAGCAGGAAGGTAAACGGCGTTTCCGTGCGCTCCTCTGGTTTGCCAGAAGCGGCTTAGTCATGCTGGCCACATGACCCGGAAGCTGTACGCCGGCTCCCTCGGCCAGTAAAGCGAGATGAGTGCCGCAACCCCAGAGTCGGTCACGACTGGACCTAATGGTCAGGGGTTCCTTTACCTTTACCTTATTGTTTCAGAAAGTGTGACCCGAGTAGAATAGCAGCACTCTCCCCTCCTGTGGTTTGCAGCAGCTGCCACTTGGACGCACTGCTGCGTCCAACCACGGAGGCAGAACATAGCTTAGCTGACAGACCATAGTGAAGGACTGTAGCTCAGTGGTAGAGCATCTGTTTTGCACCCAGAAGGTCCCTGGTTCAATCTCCAGGCATAGGGCTGGGAGAGACCTCCTGCCTGAAACCTTGGAAAGCCACTGCAAGTCACTGCAGACAGTACTGATCTAAACGGACTAATGGTTTGACTGTGTATAAGGTAGCTTCTTTAAAGGAGACTAGGCAAATTCATGGAAGATAAGGCTATCAGGAGCTAGTAGTCACAATGGCTGTGTATTATGCATCATAACTCTGAATACCAGTTGCTGGATATCAGAAGTGGGAGGATGCTATTGTGCTCAATTTGGTTGGCCATAGGCCTTTGGCTTTATACTGCTATTGGGCTCTTCTTTTGTTTCCAAACAGCAGAACTTCTGATGACGCAGAGCTCACATGTTAGTGACTCACCAGTGTCATACCAAGTGCTGGAGAGCTGCTCAATTATGTTGACACTTCAAATGTGAAGTTTACATATAATGGAAAATGATGTTGCCAAATTTTTATTACATGGCATTGATTATTCAGCTTATAATGCACTGCTATATTATGTATAAAGCACCTCTCTCTCTCTCCCCTCCCCCCGCAATTCTTCTCTGACTTGTTATGTAAAATGAGATTTTATGCATGCATGGTCAGCATTCAGCAGAAAAATGCCCAGAGCCAACTATTTTGCAGGCGTATACACCAAAGTTCTTTTATGTTAAGTGTAACTCTTGAGCCAGAACTGTAGGCCGGTGCAAATGCCTGGGGGATATTTTATTTCTTCTACTCCACTGGAGCTGAAACCCCTACCTAGGTAAACCTGGGACCCCAATTTGGATGTCTGGGTAGCTTTTCTCCTCACCGACCCACCTGAGAAATGGTCAAATAAGACTATTTATTCCAATAAACAAACAAAAATATCAATGCAATTGAGAAGCTCAAAGCATCCCACTTTCACCCAAAATCTGTAAATGCAGTTGCAAGGCTATATCCATGCTGACTCACAGGTAGGTCAAGGATGCAGCCTTCTTAGCCTGGTCTGCCAAGGCGCAAAAATTGAGCCACAGTTGCAGATCCAGCAAGTGACAGGAAACAGGCTCATGTGAATCATTTGATGTTCACAGCTTTCACCAGCAAAAAAGCATAAAGGAAACCTACCTTCTAAGGTTTCTCAAAAAAACCAAACCTAGAATTGATGCTTTTGAATTATGGTGCTGGAGGAGACTCTTGAGAGTCCCATGTACTGCAAGAAGATCAAACCTATCCATTCTGAAGGAAATCAGCCCTGAGTGCTCACTGCAAGGACAGATCGTGAAGCTGAGGCTCCAGGACTTTGGCCACCTCATGAGAAGAGAAGACTCCCTGGAAAAGACCCTGATGTTGGGAAAGATGGAGGGCACAAGGAGAATGGGACAGCAGAGGAAGAGATGGCTGGACAGTGTTCTCGAAGCTACTAATATGAGTTTGACCATTTACAAAATGATGCATGGCATGGAGCGTGCGGATAGAGAGGAGTTTTTCTCCCTCTCTCTTAACACTGGAACTTGAGGACATTCAGTGAAGATGAATGCTGGAAGATCCAGGAGAGATAAAAAGGAAGTACTACTTCACAGAGGGCATAGTTGAACTGTGGAACTCTCTGGTGCAGGAGGCATGTGAGGGCTGGTGTTTCAGCTATCTAAAGAAAATGATTAAAGGACATCTCATGTGCTTAAGGGTTTCTTCTTATTCACAATATTGCATGGTTCTTCGGATGGATATATTGTTTTGATACATGCTCTGTTTTTGGATTTATCTTTTTCAGTTATGGTATTAAAGAGTTTTCATATATGGTATTTAGTTTTTTGGATATACATACTCTTGTCTCTTTTAACCATAAGGTTCAACTCAATTTTTATGTTTTTGTTAACATCTTCATGATTGTTTTTGTTAACATCTTCAGGATTTTGAATTTTTCTTTGGGCTGATTTTTAAGTTCATAAAGTGTTTTGCTCTTGACTTTTTTGTTTGGTTTTATGTTGTTGCCTCATTAGGAATTATTTTTCCTACTTTAGGTTTGTTTCAGAATAATGGCAGACCACCCATCAATAAGTGTTATGGATTCCCATTTTTTTCATGCCACAAATCAAGCCCTCAAATTTCCTCAATTTGTTGATTTCGAGCCAGTTTTGTGATGTTGGTAGATGCCCCAAGATCAAGAAAGAAAAAAACGCTGCTCATTTGGGTTTAGTGCTGTTCATACGTTGCTTAAATTTCCAGATGGTAATAATCCATTGGCATTATCCTTTCAACTAGTGTGAGGTAGATGGTCTACCCTGCATGTTCCAGGCTTAATTGACTTCAAATCAAACTTTCCAGCTTGTGGGAAAGATGAAAAGTCATCTACAAAAGAATTAAGGAAACGATTGCTCCTTAAATTGGCTCATTAACTAGGGCATTAGAATCACAAAGTTGAAAGTAAAAGAATGGAGGCTGGAAGGAGGGATGAGGGTTGAGGTTGATCTCATGCAGATTTTTAATTTTTTTTTAAAAGCCTCATAGCTTGAGATGGTCTCAGACTTCATAGACTACTTTGCCTTTGGTTAATTAGGGTCATGGCACTGGAGAGGACTCTGCTATGAAGGAACGAGTGGTGGAATTGGACCATTGTGCAGTGGGAGAGTCCCTGGGTCTGACTTGCAGGCTTCTCACAGGCCTCTGGTTGGCCAATATGAGAGAAGGATGCTGCATTTGGATGGGGTACTGGCCTTAAGGAAATCAGCCCTGGGTGCTCACTGGAATGACAGATCCTGAAGCTGAGGCTCCAATACTTTGGCCACCTCATGAGAAGAGAAGACTCCCTGGAAAAGACCCTGATGTTGGGAAAGATTGAGGGCACAAGGAGAAGGGGACGACAGAGAAGGGTTTGACAGAGGACGAGATGGTTGGACAGTGTTCTCAAAGCTACCAGCATGAGTTTGACCAGCTGTGGGAGGCAGTGGAAGACAGGAGTGCCTGGCATGCTCTGGTCTGTGGGGTCATGAAGAGTCGGACTCAACTAAACGACTAAACAACAACAACAACAACAACTGGCTTGATCCAGCAGGCTCTTGCTATGCTTGTATGTTCTTACCAGTATTGTTGACTGGCCAGTAATAAATTATCCTTTACCCTAAGAAAATGTGACTGTAAGTCTCTTAAGCCAAATGCCATGGAAGCTGCTAAGTTGAGATGTGCTCCCCATTCCCCCAGTGTTCCATCCTACATTTATTTTCTCTCTCTACCCTGCTGGGAGTTAGATTGCTATTGTTTCTAGCGTTATCCAGGTTTTATTTCCCCCCGAATGTCAGGCTGAGGATTCTGGTTGGATTGAAGGGCCAGATGTTTGAACGAATAAATAAATCAACAGAGCAAAAAGCTTTGAACCTGGCCTTCCAGAAGGCTAACCATTATGATACAGTACCTCTCTTGACTGGTTGACCACAGGGTCTTGAGCTGGGCAGTTCTCCTGCAGATGCTTTTGCTGCCAGTTGCAGCTTTTCACCTGTTTTTGGAGGGGCGAAGTCAGAGAAGCCTCGCCTGATCTTCCTTTGCGGTGGATTGGAAGTTGTGTAGCTGTAGAACTTGGCATGAACCCACAGCTGGCTGGAGACAGCAGCGTGTCATTCTGCATTAAGGATGTTGCATCATTGCAGGAGCGCAGAGCAGACACCAGGAAAGCAATCCATTTGGGTGGCTGCCCAAGCTGAGATGCGTTGAGATAAAAACGTATATCGCAACATATTCACAACACTGCACATCTAATTTACCGGTATGCATGTGCACACTTGCATTGTAGACACAAGAACCCTGTCATGTTTATTATCCTTAACAGTCCAGGTAAGCTTTGAACAAAAAATGATTTCTAAAAAAATGCACAAAGACCACAGAACTCTCTTTTTGCATGAGGGTTGTTTGGCAGGGTCGGGAAGGGTAGAATCATACAATTGTGGAGTTGGAAGGCACCCAAAGGCTCATTTAGTCCAAATGTAGAATTCACAGCTAAAGAATCCCCGACAAATGGCCATCTAACATCTGTTTAAAAACCTCCAATGAAGGAGAGTCCATTCCACTGTCAAACAGCTCTAATCCTCAGAAAGTTCTTCATGTTTAATTGGACTCTTATTTCTCATCACTTGAATCCATTGGTTTGAGTCCTCCTTTCTGGAGCAGCAGAAAGCAAGTTTCCATGTGACAGCCCTTTAGATAGTTGCAGTTTTTGAAATTCCTTGGGCACCAGGCACGTTTTGCTACTGGTGTGGGTCCAATTGTGACTACACAGAGATTTCTGGGTGCCAGGCTGTTTTTGCATGTTATTTTCACTAACATCTTCATTTCCCCGCACACTTTCCCCTAGAATGTGCATTGCTGTAAACAGTGTTTTCTATCACAGAATTTGGAAAAGTGTGAATTTTGAAGGATGGCTGTGTTTCAGTTCACATATTGTTTTGGAAAATGTGCATTTGATAGATGCGGCTTCGGAGGAGACCTGAATTGACTTTCTCCTCCATCCCTACCTGAATTAGTATAGTCCAGGAACAGTTTGCTGGGGGTGTGAGTTGACTCTGAAGTTAAGTCCTTGTCACTTAATTGCTGCAAGGGCAGAATGCTGTTCCCCCACTCTCCACTGGCTTATGACCATTTTGTTGTTCATTCTATTACAACGGGATCAGAGTTGCATCTTGCTTTGAATGTCACAGTGCAAACCAAGCATCTTCAGGGAATGCAATCCCTCCCCATCACGGCAGGCTGCCAGTAATAGATGGACAAGAAGTTCTTACCGCTGGCGGAGGAAGAGGAGTGGGGGGGGCAGCACACCGCCCCTGGCAGCGCTATCCTGGCAGGGTTCCATCGCGGCTGCCCCCTCTGCGCTGGGTGCCTTGCCCCCAGGATGTGCGCCCCGCCCCTCCAGGTGGCGCGCCCCACCCCCAGGACACGCCCCAGCCCTGCCCCTGCCTGCTCTCCGCCCGCCCGGTGCTGGAGCATGAAGCTCCGCCACTGGTTCTTTCCAAGGTATTTATTCAATGTTCACAGAGAGAGACTTAGGAACGTTGCCTCTTGGGTTA